CAAAATGTCTAAAGCACTCTGAGAACCAAGTTGTTGTATAAAGAGTAAAATCAGAAAGTATTACCTTTCCTGTCATGTCCTTCGTCAAACTGAGAAAGAAAAACTTTTTATTAACCAAAGGAATGAAACAACTCCTGCAAGGATGGCTAAGGGCTTTGCTTGGAAAAGAAATATTAAACCCTGTTGCACCCAAGATCTTCTTACTAATTCTCCTTACCGTCTACCATACAATTTTTATGGTGTAAGATCAGAGAATTTCATATTGGATCACCAAGCAATATCCTATAGTTTATATTTTTCTTTATTCCTGTCACTTTTCTTCCAGGTATTGTATTGATATTGTTACAAGAAATTCTGCCTTGGTCACTAGTGGGAATTAAAGGTTTAAGAAATATTCTGAATGCTAAAACCCTCATCAGTAACAACTTGAAATGTAAGATTCCCTTGAAGTTGCCAACCAGAGGTCCAACTTACAGCCATTTTAATCACAAGTTAAATTTTTGTCACCATGTTTAGGTGAATGTATGTTTGCTTGGGGAATAATGTCATTCATGAAAATACGTTTTTATGGAAGGTCACATACAGAGTAGAGGAAAAAAAAAGGAAAAGTTAACAATGAAAACAATAGTGCTCCCTAAAAGTTTATTTATTTTTCAGAATATTCCTTTCTGTGTCAACACATTATACAAGTCACTGAATAAATTACAGAAAGTTTCCGTTGATCAGACAATTTAACAAGAAAGTCAAGTCAAAAAAACTGCTCACAAAATATGACAAAGAAATCTGTCCAGTTTCTTCACAAGTCGCTTCAACTAATCAACCCTTTAACTCCTAGGTCAAATTTGTAATTCTCCTTACTGTCAATTATACAATTCATATAATGTTAGTTCAGAGAGTTTAGCATTGGATCAACTAATTATCCCCAAATTGATATTTTTCTGTATTCTCATCACTTGTCCAGTTGATATTGTATTGATATTGTATGGAGAAATTCTGTCTTGGTCACTCATGGGGGTTAAAGGGTTGATCCGAATAACATTTGCTTTCCTATATATAAACTGCAAATATAAAATCTTCTTATCACTAACCTGCTCGTTACAATGATCACATCCTCAGCTATATTTGCTAATTCTTTTATAGCCAGGTACACCATTCTGCGAAGCATTACCTATAGAAAAAAAATGTTTAAACAGAGTTTTGATGTCTGATATAATGCTTGAACTAAAAATTAGACCTTGATCTTATATTCTGAGACTAACAAATCTAAAACATCTACTCCAACTCACATCTTTTGACTGAAACAGCTTTGTCATTGCAAAGAATGCCTCTGTAGCTTCTGTTGTACCAAGATGTTGCCCCTGAACAAAAAAAGCCATACATACATGCTTGCATAAAGATGAATTCTCTATTGACTTTCAAATTCACATGACACAGTATAATGAATATTGCCTCTTCCCTTCTCTCTGGTCACCTATATTTCTACAAGAAAGACAATCATGAAGGCATGCAAGTGGCAGAATATGCCACTGATTTGGGATCCCCCGAGAAAGGATGGTCCAAATGTTTTATTTATTACAGTACCGCTCACGTAAATGTTAACTGCGCAGACAAATTTCATACGCTCAGACACAGAATAGTCTGACACGTACATACGATTCTTTTGTGCACACGGTCGAAAAAAATGCGCAACTCAAATGCCTTTGTTATTCAGTGCTATAAGTTTCATTTGTATTACATTGTTGTGTAAAACAAAGAAATTTTAGGTTTGAAAAAGCAGCAAGTCAACAACGGAAAATTTCCTATTTTTACAATTCATTCATTGCTTTCAGTGCTCCCTTGGATTTTTTTGCAGCGAAATGTAAACAAGTTGATGTTTGCATTGTAGCTGATGATTTCTTTGAAATTTCGAACTTACCTTGATCACCTTCAAAAAATATACCATTAAAGATTGTGAATGATGTTTTATTCTACTCATTGCAATCAGCACTCGCTTCACTATTTACTCCCTAGAATGTAAACAGTTTAATTTTGCATTGCATGTGATGATTTGTTTGATCATGGCACGCATCATAATACAATAATGAAAGGTCAAGTTACAGTAAATTACAATGTCAAAGATGAAAAAACATCTGAAAAACCAAAAATGCTTCTACAGACAACCATTCATCAGAATACTGTGCAAACGTCTGTTAATAATGTCAAGATCTTTCAAAACAGACTCCGAAGCAGAGTCAGAACAAGATATAGTTGTGACAGTTAACCGCAATGTAACACAACACCATTAAAATAAGTGAGTACAACTTATTAGTCTCTGTTTAAATGGTGAGATGAATGAACCAGTTTTCAAGAACACCATGTTCACCAATGGCAAAAGCTATGAAATAAGTATTTGCACATAGGTTTCCATTCAGAATGTAACAACTGCTTAATAACAGGCGCCTTTGCTGATTCTACCAAATTACGACACACTAAGAATAAATTTATTTTGAACAAATTCCCAACCCATTGCAATGGATGTCTTTTTCATACAAAGCTATTTTGATGAAAGAATTCCATTGGAAAGTGATAAATCATTTATATATTCCAATTATTAAGTCCCATCAGTAACAGCATATTGGGAAGGTCAGTTTGAACAGTGATTGAAACAAACAAGTTTGCTAATCGTTGGTAGCCGTGTAGCGTTCTAGTTCTATTGCATTGTAGCCTATTGCCAACAACAGAAAACAAAAAGACAAACTCTTCATACCTAACGAGGCAGATGTCTCAAGCTTATGTGCACATGTGTGATTTTTTGACATGCCCGATTTTTTTTATTTGCAATTGCATGCAATTTATGGCACATCTTATTCACATTTTTTGGTTAACGTATCGCGAGCAGTACTGTAGGTTCACAATCATGGGTCATACCAAATCAATCCTCAGTTTTTACATTAAGGAGAGTAATTTACTGCTGATTATATAAAGTATACTGCAATTTTAAAATGACTTCAAACAATCTGAATGTAATCTCTTAACCCTTTCATCCTTATAAGTGATAAGCATCTAACTTCTCCTCACAATATCACCCCTGAATCACTCATTAACACCATGAGAATATAAGAAATAATCATCAACTATGGAAGCTCTTGATCATTAAACAAAATCATCTGTTTGTACCACAGGAAATATATAAAGAACAGTATTGAGAATCTACATATCTATGTTAGGAAGAAAGGATCAACCCTCATAGTCCCTAGTTCTCGACATCAATTCTCCTCAATGTCCGCTATAACTTTCCCGGAATTTTAGCTCTGTGAATTCGGTGTTAAATGGATCGATTCTCATTATCTTTCTACTTGACAATGCACTGATATTACAATGAGAAACAACTTTAAGGTCATTCGTGGGAGTGAATGTTTTACGAGGAGAAATTCAATATTCTTCCAGTTAAAAGCTCGCATACCTGGTTCAGTACGTACAGAATCTTCGTCAGAATGTGAATACATTTCCGCGGATTTATCGGAGTTTCGTTAAATGTGCGAGCCTGGGGAGACACAAGTATTTTATAGTGTAATTTTTCATTAAAAAAGACTGAGATCTAACAGAGATTTAAGGAAAAACTAGATATTTCAGGCTAACCTCTTGGAGCACGGCACTCTTGTCAAGATTCTGAAACGGGTTCGACTGCGAACCTGTAACGGGCGAGGACAAAGCATGAAACTCTGATTTGCTACAAAATTGATGAAAAACTAATAGCACAGAAATCCTTTACAAAAGTCCTTTACCATCTTCTTCGTCCTTCTTATCTCGCCGCAAGTACTGCATTTTACCCAAAAATTCAACCAAATCTCGACAACTCGGTGATCTTCAAAATGGAGACGTGGCAGAACAAAGCACGATGGGAAGGATTCGTGGGCTCAAGGTTATACAGCGGAAGTTTTCTCTCATTACCAGTCGCTGCTCAGTTGCTGTGAAAATTACGCCGACAGGTAAAAGAGAAAGAATTTCGCAATTCAAGATCTATATCCTCTACCTCTTCCTTTCATATGACCCGGTGGATACGTATGTGACCTTTTTTAATAGTCGTAGGATAGAATAACGTCTCCTGAAAGACTGTAAACGCACACTGAGAAATTTTTCAATGCTAAAAAATTAGACAGAATCCCCTCGGAGTTTTCAGAAAACACGGTATCATATACATACCAAATTATTTTTTTATTCAATCCGTGACATCGGTACACTATTTGAACGAGACCTTTTCCTCTTTTATGTCTGAGCTCCAAATCAGAAAAGAAACAAGGAAAGAAAGAATGAAAAATAAGTCAATGAGTGTTGCAATTGAAACCGAAGTGCGTGTAGAAAATGCTGTAAGCCATTCATTTGTTTGCTTTGAAAGCACAAACACAGATTCAAACTTCCTGAGTTAGACTTCTGTCTGTCCTTTCCGCATACCTTGCTCTTAGTGTTTGCCCATCATGGTCAATTCTCTTTTCGCTTACCTTCTCTTTTTCTTCTGGCAGGCTTATCTGTTTGAAGAAAAACCAAAAAACAGTTGCTCAATATCTTCATTAATAACAACTGAAAAATTTTTACACGAGCGCAAAGATTCAGTTCAGAGGTACTCAGGAATTTTGGCAGGTTTTTATTTTTTCCTCTTTACTGAAAACGCCAGATTGCAATTATAAAGGACTTCCGTTTTAATAAAAGCTTATTTCTTGCGGATCTATGTCTCTGAAGAAATTTTCAGTTGAGCGTCTAAAATAATCTGGGATTGCGTTGGTTTTGTTTCACTTCTGTCTATAATTGGTCTGTAAAACTCGCGCCAATCTCTCAACCAATGAGATGCAAGACGAAAACCAATCTCGAATCTTTCAGAATATCCTTTTTAGTCTTTGCTGACGTCAAAAGTAAGCTTTAATCTCCTCTTTCCGGAAGTGCGTGATCTAAACCGCTGTCGCCAAAGGGATTACATTTATAAAGTCATTACGCCGATGTCGACTTTAATTTAGAGAGATATTTATTGAAGAATCAAGTTTTTTACGTCAAAAGGTCCACTTTGACAGATGGGCGGTTTTTTTGGATAAAACAGATGGAAAGCGCTGGATCACTGTAAAACAACTTCGCTAAAGGACGGGATCTGCACAAGATGACGCGAATTTGGACATTTGCAGTTTTGGTGTTCTGTTTACGGATTTCAAGACCAGGTAAGGGCAATTTTTATACAAGCGTAAAATCAACTGATCTTCCTCAATTTTTCAAGTGAAAATTGTTTTAATCAAAACCAACGTTGCGAAGTGTCCTTTCGTTAATATTTAGGATGCTTTCACTTGGAGAGGTCTAAATTTCTCACTGAATTTCAAAGCGGGCGAACGGGTTTGCTTTTGGCATTTCCTTCATTTTTGACTGAATGAACTCGTTTTAGAATGTCTTTTGTTTCTTTAATAACGAAGCTTTACTCCTCGTTTCTTTCTGAAGTCAACCATCTCTCTAATAACAATTTCTCCGATAATAATTAGAAACCCGTCAAGTTTCCACCGTAAACCAATTAACAGAAAAAAAAACCGCCTCTTACCGCCCTAAAAAAGACCTCGATCGCTTTTAAGATCGATGACCAAAGTTGTGCATGAATTTTGTGTTTAGATCATGGGAAAGCGCCATACGTTTCTGTGGAGCCAATTATTTCATTCCAATAATTTCCATTGTCACAGAAGATCAACAGATTAAAATCTCATCATTTCCATTCTTTAAGTTTTAATTAGTTCTTTTTTCTAGGTCCTTGTTATCCGCTGCAAATATCCTGTAAATTCAGCCGCTTGGAAATAAGCGGGACACAAAGGCCAATGCCTGACTAGCGGTCTCCCTATCAAAGCGGCTCTATTCTTTTCAAAGAGCTCTATCTTTTCGCTTATCATGCACAAATCAGCTTGAATTTCATAAAGATTCATTGGCTATTATGTATACGACTGTCACATCCACTCAAAAGTGGTATTTAAAAGCGTAATTTCTTGTGTGTTTTCCTTACATTAGACCGAGATAAAATTGAGCAATGACATTGATGAAAGACGGATATAAGGGCCTTTATCATTTTTGTTCACTATAATAAAAAACTCTCTTCTAAGATCTCTTAAGCTTTTCAAGCGTATCATGGATCTACTCTTAAACACGAATTACTGAGAAAAATCCGCTTTTATGACTCGGTCGATCAATTAGCTCCTCCGAATAGAAAATCTTGATCAGCAATTAATTGTTTATCTTTTTACACAAGTCGACCTTCATTAACTCCAATTCTAAACCCATTTAAGACAACAGATCATTTTCTTTCTTCTTCTGATCCCTAAGTAAACACGAAAAAGGAAAATATGATCTGAGCTTCGAGTGATACAGTAATCTCAGCGAATTTTTTTTTTAATTTAGTTCTATCCTCACTGTGATAGTAATGGTGGATCCAGACCTTAAGCTAAGGGGGGGAGGGGAGGGTGGTTTGTCTGCCGAACTGATGCAATGTTTATCTATTTGCCAATAAGTGGGGAATATTCACAGCACTACGTCTTAACGAAAAAAAAAAGCAAAACACGCCTCTTTCCCCGGCCCAGGTGGGTAAATAAATAGTGGCTGGTTCGTAGTGTCAAAGTTTTACATTAACAACTCAACTCCAAAAGTCGAAGATGGCAACTTAAAATTGATCCTGAATAGAAAGATCATCTACGTATTGAAATTTCGGTGGAAATTTGCCTGTGTTATCACTTCGTATGAATCGTGATTAAGGGTCGTGACGTCAATCAGCTGTGTTCTGACACTTTGACGTTGATTCACCGACGTCTTTACTCAGTTCGAGTTATCAGGGTAAATTTGAGCCAGGGGAAAGTTCAGAAATTAGTTCGAATCGACGTGGAGTTGAGTTATCTGAGTTCGAGTCAGCTGATAGTGAATGACTGCAATCATGGAGTCTAATCCATGGCTTATGAACCGTTTTGTTCCGAAAACAGGTACAGATTTTTATTCATTTCTTTACACAGCTCTTTCCACCAGGTGCTTTTCTTGTCAAGGACTGATCGGTTCAACATGCGAAAGCGCAACAACCGAAGTGGAATGTCCGCAAGCATATAATTCTTGCTTTACAGTCGCCAGAATTATGGACTACCCTGACATTGGCAGGTATGTAGAGGTGATCAAAAACTGCTCCATTTGGCAAGATTGCTGGTTTAACGGTAACGCCTCGTGTGATAATTCATCCGGGTTTGTGAACAGTTGCTCCATTGATTGCTGTGTTGGGGATTTGTGTAATAACATGACAGTGCAGATCACGCTTAACTCTGTAGCACGCGTGATCACGCACACCAGTGCAGACTTCGCGAAACGCACGAACCTTGAGCGAGAGGTAACGAATACTGGTGCAACAACAAAGGCAACACAAACCCCAATGTTTACATCCGGGATACCCGTGATGACAAGAAAAGCAGCGCATGCGTCAAGGGTACCATCCGGGATACCTATCATGACAGCTGTGTCGTCAACACAGCGCCAATCCACCTTGAATGACAAAGCTTCTACACCCTGGAGCTCGCAGAGAAGCCCGGTTTCCGTATCTAGAAGTAACATCACCACCAATGACTCGTCCCACGAAGTAATAGCAGTCCCCAATCATTCCAAAGGACTTTGGAGTCAGCTACTTACTCAAGTGATAATGGTGGCTCCAGGAATTATTTACGAGAGATTTTAGACATGAAATGATAGGCAAGCCTATCATAGTTGAAGTTCAACTTTTGCTTTATTCGGCAGACGAGACGGATAAAGATTAGATTGCCATAATGATAAAAAATTAAGGTGGTTCTGTGCCGAATGTACAGGTTTTTAAACTCAAAATGGGGGCCGTTCGATTTGTTCGCAAGTAACAGACACGGAAAACCAAAATAAAGAGTATCTCTCAGAGACTGCAGTGTCGCTATGGTAACCTAATATAAGGGTCTGAAATCGAGAGATCACCATTCATTTTTAAAACTATCTTCGGGGAATCAAAAAGAAGAAGAAATAATACGGGGGGGGGGAGGGGAAGAGAGAGAGAGAGAGAGAGAGAGAGATCTAGAGAGAGAGAGAGAGAGAGAGGAGACTAAGCACGATCCATTAAATATGATGTTTAAAAATAGAAACTTTCGCAACAACTGTTTTCAATCTCAAACGGCGCACAAAAATGCTTTAGAAGTTATAATCAAAGTTGTGCTTTTAGCGAATGGGGGAAACGGTACAGTGTAAAATTGTAGGCCGACAACTAAGTCTGTTTGATCAAGGAAGAGTATGCTAGAGGACTCGTGTACCTTTTGATCTCTACAATCATGAGGTATACAGCTGTTTCGAGAAGGGTTTGCGGGAAAAAAAAAGACAAAAGTAAACGCGACAATCTCGAAAGGTAATCTGGGTATCCGGCAATCAATGCATTGTAATTATAAAGAATAAAGAAAGTAAGAAACGAAGACGAAATAATAAAAAAATTCATCAAACCTCCGCGATGCCCCGTCCTTATGGTGATGTTTCCTCAGATTTCCCTGAAATCCTAAAGTTTGGTTTACGCATGCACTTTAACTTTTTTTCCAACAACTTTTTCTCAGAACAACTGTATATAAAAAATTATAACAATGAACACGCTTTTCAGATCCCAAAGAGTAACTGAATCTTCAACTTTCGCAAATTTTTTTCAAACGAGCTAAAAAATTCGATATTACCGGTAGACACTAGTATTTTGCTTTGTAACCTGGCTGATTACGTTAGGCAGTGTCACGTTAAAATTTACCTAATCTTCCTCTCAGGTTCTGAAATAAATCCATGATTCCCCTCTCCTCCCTTATTGACAGTTAATTGGTGGTCAGTTTCTCATGCCATAGTTCCCCTATTAGCGATGACTAATTCCCCTTCCGTTCCTCCTGAGAATCATGGGATACCCACAAAGATCTTCCAACCCTCTTAGCCAAGAGGGATAAAAAAAATTACTTGTCCCTTAAGCCGTGGCGCTTGTGGACAACAACACCTAAAACCGTAGTTCTCCATTGTCCGTGATACTGATTGATTTTATAAACTGGGTCACTTGATAATGCAATTCAGAAGATTTCATTGGCCTAGCCATCATGGGTTATGAGCCATTATACCATGCTCTACAAACTGGTAAGTGTAAGAGGAATTTTACGAAATAAAGTTGGGATAATTTATCTATATTTTGAGGCAAAATTAATAAAATCAGTATTCCACTCGCTCTTAGTGAGAGATGATTATAGCCAACTCGGCCCTACAGGCCTGGTTGGCTCTCTGTCATCTCATATCCAACGCGCGTCCGTGGAATAATTTTTTAAGTATCATGTGTTTGCAGGAAACTCTCGCCTTACCGGACACCGACAATGTTTGCATTGCTGTCAAAGAAGAAGAAAAAAAAGAGCATTCACTTTCAAAAGATCCCAGTTAAAGTAACGTTCAGTGGAGAGCAAGAAAAATCCTTTCAATTTAACTGAAATAAAATCAGATCCATGTATTTTATGGTCTATTGCCTCTGGTGTTTGAATAATTGTTAGCAAAACGAAACTGTATTGGTGCCACGCTTGCTGCAGTCCCATTCAAGGCCCTTGTTTGGTCTAGTCACGTAACGCGCTCTCCGTTGCGTGACGAGACCAAACGACGGCTAATTATAACGTAAACATAACTTGCTGATCTTTTCAACCTTTGCCAAAGAATCAATCCTAAGGCAAAAACAAGATGGTCGATCAAATGTGCTGAGTCATCAAAACTAGCCCTTCCAAAACAAACGCTCAAGTGATGATTTCGTGTTGGGCCATTAAATTACGTCGTGTGCGTTGTAAGTGAAGAACACAAAACACAAAACACGTTTCAACTTTTAAGGGTGCGTTCCTTTGGGAGGATCCGGATTTGGATTTGCGATTCAAGATCACAGAGATCATGGTGCATGAAAGGAACGGAGTTTTAGGGCCTGTTTACATGGAGGTGGGGGACCCCAGCTAGGTGAGTGTAAAATGTTCACATTTCGGAAAATTTAACGTTGTAAATCGACCATATTTCGTTTCCCAAACTATTCTGTATAACGTATTAAGTCACCGGTTCCTCGCGAAACCAAACAACGCGTAACACAACGAGTGACACTTTCATGAATGAATACATATGTGTCCGAGAATTAACCTTACGTCTCTTTCGAGACGTGAGCTTGGGACGCCTCCGCTCAAACTCCTAATTGCAAGCGCAATAACCTGAAGAAACCTCACCCCAGCACCTTGGGGTTGTAAGATTGCATGTAAACGCGTTTTATTTTTCGACCACGGTTAGGCGGGTTACCTCACCACCCTAATTTAAGACATGATTGGCATGAAGAACGATACTCTGACACTCTGACGCTCTGATTCATGCAAGCATACCCTAATGATGTGATCTGATCAGTACCGATTTCAGTGGTGCGAGATACATATTCAAATGCAACGATCTGATTGGTGCGAGCGACATACACCTCGATACGCCAATCAATTCATCAATCAATCAATGCATTTAACGTAGTCGGTAATAAGCTAAAGAACTAGTTCACAAATACGCCACGAAAAAAATTAATAGAAAAAACGGAAAAAAAATACAAGCCTTTGGAAGGTGTATAATTTAAGATAAGTTAAGATTAAAAACTAATTGATATTGAAATATAAAAATTCAACAATGTTCTGTCAAACTAAGTTTAAAAGTACATAAAAATATGAAAATTATAAAAACGGTAAAATTGATTAAGAACAGACCGGCACATCGCACTCAGAGTCCCATGAGATTTGATTCTTTTATGTTGTTTTTAAAAGCAGTGTATGTTTGAATCTTCCGAAACTCGTCTGGTATAGTGTTCGATGCAGCGTATCTCCATGATCTTAAGCCGAAAGTTGTTGATTTTACTTTGGAAGGTCCAGTATTGTCGGTGGTGCCCCTGAGGTTGTAAGTGGAGCGCCTTAATGCTATGAGATCACGTAAACTTTCAGGTCCTGTATCGCTGGCTAATATCTTGAAAACAATGGACAATATTTTCGCTAATCGTTGCTCAAGAAGACTTGAGAGACCGATTCGCCTACAAAGTTCTTCATGAGACGAGGACTTATCCTTGAAAACAAAACGGAGCGCTCGTTTGATCACCATCTATAACGGGCGACCCTAAAAGCTGGAACGGTGGAATGGCGGAATGGTGGAATGGCGGAATGGTGGAAAATGACCCCAAATCCTAAAACACGGAACGGCGGAAAATGACCCCAAATCCTAAAGCACGAACGGCGGAAAATGACCCCAAATCCTAAAACATGGAACGGCGGAAAATGACCTCAGATCCTAAAACATGGAACGGCGGAAAATGACTCCAAATCCTAAAACACGGAACGGATGTCAGAGCATGTTGCACAAATTTTGTACTAAGACACCAAGCGCTTGGCTCATTTATCCCCACGACGATAACGCGCGTGACTAAAATTAAGTGTTATTAATTATTTTTCTGTTACTGAGTGGGATTATGCATGAAAGATAGCTGCGTTTTCGCGTTGTAAACCTGTTTAACAAAACAACAAAAAAGAGGCTATTTCACCAATTCATTGAGCGGATTTCTTCTGTTCCTCAACAAATTGCAAATCGTCAACTCTATGGCGTTTAAATTGCCCTTTCAGAAAGGGAAGTGTAATTCAGACGGATCTTTGGATTGTCATGGTTTACCATTATTCCGAAATCCGCTGAACGAATTGGTGAAATAGCCTCTTTTTTGTTCAGAAAGTTAATTTCTTCCGCTGATATGTAAGCCGTAAATTTCACAGTAGGATGGTGGTGTTTTGGACATCTGGTCGCGAAGAAATTCTTCAAATTCTTCTTGACGGCTTCCTTCTGCTAACTTTCTTTTGTCTTTTCACGCCATGAGAAATTCCCACGCGCGTGACACCCTGCAAACCTCTCTTCACCTAGTGTTGCTCAAGTCCCAAAACTTATTCGTGGATGAAAAGACGCTCGTATTGAAGGGCTCGTAACGAGGGCTTGCTCTCACGCTAGTCTAAGTTTGGAGCTGGGGCTGAACGTTGTCATATTTTGAGAAGCCTGAAAAAGTTCCTGTGATGTTCTCGCATTTACAAGCTTATGAGATATTATTGTTTCAATAAATCAATGCAGACGTGACCAGGAAACGTATCAAAGTTACAATTGTTTATTGTAATGTGGTATGTCGAGTTGGTTTTCACATGCTGCGCGACTTTTTATGCCGCGACTAAAACTCGTGGCAAATTTTGCATAACGAAAGGTAACTAAACAGGTTTACAACGCGAAAACGCAGCTATCTTTCATGCATAATGGTTCATTATTATTTATACCACTCAGTACAAGAAAAAAAATTAATAACACTTAATTTTAGTCACGCGCGTTATCGTCGTGGGGATAAATGAGCCAAGCGCTTGGTGTCTTTGTACAAAATTTGTGCAACATGCCCTGACATCCGTTCCGTGTTTTAGGATTTGGGGTCATTTTCCGCCGTTCCGTGTTTTAGGATTTGGGGTCATTTTCCGCCGTTCCGTGCTTTAGGATTTGGGGTCATTTTCCGCCGTTCCGTGCTTTAGGATTTGGGGTCATTTTCCGCCGTTCCGTGCTTTAGGATTTGGGGTCATTTTCCGCCGTTCCATGCTTTAGGATTTGGGGTCATTTTCCGCCGTTCCGTGTTTTAGGATTTGGGGTCATTTTCCGCCGTTCCGTGCTTTAGGATTTGGGGTCATTTTCCGCCGTTCCGTGTTTTAGGATTTGGGGTCATTTTCCGCCGTTCCGTGTTTTAGGATTTGGGGTCATTTTCCGCCGTTCCGTGCTTTAGGATTTGGGGTCATTTTCCGCCGTTCCGTGCTTTAGGATTTGGGGTCATTTTCCGCCGTTCCGTGCTTTAGGATTTGGGGTCATTTTCCGCCGTTCCATGCTTTAGGATTTGGGGTCATTTTCCGCCGTTCCGTGTTTTAGGATTTGGGGTCATTTTCCGCCGTTCCGTGCTTTAGGATTTGGGGTCATTTTCCGCCGTTCCGTGCTTTAGGATTTGGGGTCATTTTCCGCCGTTCCGTGCTTTAGGATTTGGGGTCATTTTCCGCCGTTCCATGCTTTAGGATTTGGGGTCATTTTCCGCCGTTCCGTGTTTTAGGATTTGGGGTCATTTTCCGCCATTCCGCCATTCCGCCATTCCGCCATTCCGCTGTTCCAGCTTTTAGGGTCGCCCTCTTGAACTTGTCAGCTGAGTCCTACTACAGAAGTGTCACGTTTCGGAACAGTAATTTAAGTGTGGTAGAATGAAAGCTTTTATAAAAATCCCTTCTAATCTCGAAAGGCAAAGGTTCTGCATCCTTTTTAATACAATGATCTGTTGACTGACTTCCCTACATATTTTAGCGATGTGCCTTTCGAAATTTAATTTGTACTAATTTTTTACGCCAAGAGGTTCCATTGTATTGGATACGGGAAGTCGTGACTCGTCACACTTGAACACAAGCTCCTGTTATTTTGAACTGTTCCACTTCATACCATCTCGCGCAAAACGTATATCAGAACTAATAAGATCATTGCTAATTGTTTCTTCAACTTTAGAGCGTTCATTGCCAGCTTAAAAGATCTGAGTGTCGTCAGCGTAAGAGGACAGAGTGCTCTTCTCAATTAACAATCGGTTCATAAGTCAGCGTGCGTTCATCGAGATATGAAGACGCGGGAAGTTTGGAGGGCACGAAAGATGCGTAAGAGTTGCTCGAGGCGTAGCCGAGAGCAACTCTAGCTTCTTGAGTCATTTGGGGTCAGGCCAGGTTTGATTTACACGAAACAATTCGTGTCGTAAGCCTGTCGTAAGCTTGTAGCATGCGACAAAGTCGCACCGTGTAAATAGGCCCTAAGACAAGAAAACAAAAGTCGGATCAATATCAGTATCTGGGCAACTTTTGTCTAACGCGTGATTAACAGATTCACGCCTTGTAAAAGAACAACCATCGTAACTTATTGCAAGTATGCGGAAAGATGATTGACCCACTGCGCCAAGTGAGCATATTCGCATATTCACAGAGGCTCGCTGTGGTTGAACTTAAAGGAAGATGAAAATAATATATTCCTCTTTAAACGATACCTTTACGCCAAAAATAACGGTAAAGTTTCCGCACAGCCCCATACTATTGTAAAACAAATCTGTTTTCCCAACGGAAATGTATTGTTTTTGTCATTATTTCCTCTGTTCAAGAACTGAATGCATAATGTAGGATGGGGCTGTGCGGAAATTTTACCAAAATAACTTTTGGGTTAAAAAGGTTTTAACTAAAAAAAAAATGGCTTTTAGTTTCTATTTTTATTTCTTTATTTTGTTATTACAACAACTTAATGGTTTCACAGGTTACGCTGGATTCCGCGGTCCGCTGATCTGGTTTAAGAAATTCCATACATGACTGTCATATGTTCACAGTCACCGATTCTTTACGTCACGTGTTAATTAAGAACCAACATCAATGTTGGCTTGTTAGCTCAGTTGGTAGAGCACTACACCGGTGTCGTAGAGGTCATGGTTTCAAATTCCGTACAGGCCTGAATTTTTATGTGTCAGGCCTAATTTTTACCACTGCCTAAGTAGTGTTCGGTAATGCGAAGATCGCTTTTATATTCAATTCTTAAATCGCAGTTCACACGTATGATTTTCCTATACATTCACAGGACTACTTAAAAAAATTCAGGCCTAAAAAATGCAGTGAAACCGAGGTTATGGTTCAGTGAAGCCTTTTAGTGGCTCCGCCTTCCGTAGGTATTTCTGCTCTCTTCTACAATGGGACACTGTGCATATTTCACATGGTGCGATGCCCTAATCCGATAAAATGGCGTTATTGTGGAATAATAACACTTGACTTGTACGTCGTGTAATCTTTTCGCATTTCACTCTTTACTCGGCGGCGTGGTTACTCTAAATCCCGCAAAAACGGCTTTGAAAAGAATATTAAAATGTTCGTGACAAAAAGTACAGTACATTGCGCCGTGGTACAAAGGTCTTTAGAGGTCAGTAAAAATGTACTCACACTCTGCAACACATCAATTGCACCTCGAACATTGTTTCTTTCTGCATTCAGATCTTGTTTGTTGCCATTCAATTCATGCTGCTTACAGTCAAGTGAGCGAAACTAAGGTTAAAGAGTTTAGCCTTTTTACCGAACCTTTACTGATTTCCATAAAAGAGTGGTTTATTTTTATTTATCATTTAATGATCGACATTTTGACAGACGTCCATCAAAGTCAGCAGGTAAGCTCAGAAAGACTTCGCCGCACCTCAAATTGGGAGCTGTCTCCATTCTCCGATCTGAATCTTTCCGCAAACTATCGAGGTTGACAAAGTAACCATGAATTCACTACTGCTCTGTTTGCTTGTTGTGTTGCTGCCATGTGGTAGGTAATTCAAGAAACCTTTTGTAGAGCTTTGTAAAATTTCTGAGTTGCATGCAAATTTAGTTCACTTTAAAAATACGCACATACTCCTTGACGAGCAATCGACTGCTTCTTCGTGGAATTCGATAGTGCTTTCCGAATGGATTTTTCACAGAAATATACCGACTGTAGAACATACTTAACTGTCGTAAATCGTCATAACGTTCTTACATGTGATGATCTCTTTGAGCAAGCTCCTATATTGTTTGTGAGCAACCGATTACTAATAGCAAAACGGTCTACCATGATCTATTAGCCATACAAAGGAAACAAAGAACTTGTAGCTTCTTTACTCACGAGAAATTCTTCTCTAATAAGAAGAAATGAAATTTCAAATTTCAAAGAGCAATATATTGAATATTTCACTCGTGGGTGCTTCAGGGCAAGCGCCTCGTGATGCAACTATCATGTGACAAATTCTTCCCCCCAAACGATAAGATTTTCCTACTGAAAATGCTCTGTATTGCAAAAAAAATATGTGGGTTAAGAGTTTGTGAATAGAATTACTTTTGCTATCTAGTGCACGAACTATCCGAACGTATGCATATTGTAGACTTACTCGCTAGGTTGTCGACGCCGTAATCTTAAGAATCGTCCAGATATTCAGACCAAAAAACATTGAACACTCTAATCAGGTTTGCACGAGGCACTTTTAGGATATTTCTGACTTCCGATCGATTTATTATTTGAGACCGTGCCCGTGCACACCAGAGAGGCGTTCATCGAGCAGGGGTTCTTTTGATAGATTGTGACTGTTGATAATTCTACTCTGAGTTAATTAGTCTTTGTTACACAAACCTGCCTACAAAATTAAGATATGTGACTTACAACTTAGTTGGCATATTCGTTGACTAGAGAAATATTCTTGTTGTGGATAAAGACATATATTGTCGCTCTGACGAAGGCTTACGACCTAAAGACTTAAACGCCGTAAACACCCTAAACACCTACGGAGCCATTTGACTAGCGAACAACTTGTGACGTTTTACATCGCACATGAGCCGTTTTCAGTGGCCAATTTACGTTATCAACTTAGTTGATAATACTAAATTGCTCTAAATTACCCTGTTATACTCTCCCACCAACGCAGCACCACAGTTTCTTTAGAAACTTATTCCCTTATAAATCCAGTGACTCGCATGATGTTAGATTCTGATGGAAGATATATGCAAAGAATTTCAAATATGACTGCCTAAATATTGACCCTTACCTTTCACTGCCGAGATCTCAATTTCAATTCTTCTTTTTCTTTGCCGTACTTTCCTTATGATATTATAGGAAAATTCATTACCTGACGAGTTAATTCCGCGTTAAATCGCACGCGAGAACCGATATCGCACGAATCACGAAGCGTAATGTTTACTAAATACTTCGTTTCGTTGACTAATTAGAATGTGAGATTTTATTCAATTATGCGATTTTAATCTGAACAATTTCTCGTAGTTTGTAGTCTTCATTAGGCCTGTTTACATGGAGGTGGGAACCCCAAGTAGGTGAGGTAACCCACCTGGCCGTGGTCGAAAAATAAAACGCGTTTAAATGCAATCTTACAACCCCGGGGTGCTGGGGTGAGGTTTCTTGAGGTTGTTGTTGCGCTTGCAATTAGGGAGTTTGAACACTGACGTCCCAAGCTCACATCTCGAGAAAGACGAAAGATTAGCTCTCGGACATGTATATATTTATTCATGAAAGCGTCACGCGTTGTGTTACGCGGTGTTAGGTTACGCGAGGAATCGTAGACTTAATGCGTTATAAGGAATTGTTTGGTAAACGAAATATGGTCGATTTTCAACGCTAAATATTCCGAAATGTGAACATTTTACACTCCTTGTGTGTCCGTTGCGGTTTCTGGTGATTTCTGCCATGAGACGGCTAGGAAATGCACAATGTTTTAAAACATTCGTGTTTAGCTTCTGCGCTTTTTGCCATAAGCGCAACCTGGACTAGGCGGGTTACCCCACCTTGAGACGTTTACATGGCAAATTTGTCACCCCGGCTGACGGGGTTACCCCACCTGGCAGACCGGGCAACTCGCCTTGGCGGGTTACCCCACCTATCTGTGAACGTGATCAAGATAAAATTAGAGATTATATGGAAAGGCGGGTTACCTCAACTACCTCCATGTAAACAGGCCCTTATTCTCGGTAACCTTCTCATTAGACGTGTCGATGTGTATTTTCCCTAGGTATTTTTCGAGTTTTGATGAAAAAACAACGCGTAAATGTACCCACAGACAGCCCAAGTTCACGCCATGAGAAAAAGCCAACGACTAATTCATAAAATGTCACGCGTTGTGTGACTCGGGGTTAAGCTACGAGAGTAAATATGTCGAAATATAAACATTTTACACTTAAAATGTATAAAAAATTTACTCACATCCTGTGTGTCCGTTGTAGTTTCTGGCGATATCTGCCGTTTTAAGCTTGCTTTTCCATCATTGTTATTCCTGTCAGAAGTCTTTTGACAGGAATAATAGTGATGGAAAAGCAAGCTTAAAACGGCAGAAATCGCCAGAAACTACAACGGACACAAGCGTTCTACAGCGATGCGTGAGCACAAATTTCCAATGAAACGCCTGTTTACTAGATAATCTACGCGCTTGACGCCCTGAATGCCTGATCAGATACATCTGTGTGCACGAGCACAGTGACATATTTAAAAAAAAAAGTAAATTTGAATTTTGGGATTTATTGTCGCAGTTGTAAACGCTCTCATAGTGGACCGTTCTTCGCTTTTCGTAGAACAGACATGTCTTGCTGTCAACCGTACAGAGGCTAGAGTGAGTCGAAACACGCTGGGGAAGGGGGGAACTTTTCCACCCCTTGCCCAAAGCCGATAGCGCTTCGTGCCTAAAAAACGCATAAAACTGCACCTGTCTCGCCAGTTACGCTTTGCAGTAAATTTAATATGGCCGCGACTGTTGTTTGCCTATTTCGGGCACGTGACTAATCAATGACATACCGAGCTAAAGAGATCTATTTTTTCCATTTGCAAGCAAGTGCTACCTGCGTTTATTAAAGTTTCTAAAAGCTCAAAGCTAAACGTGCCTTATAATATAAAACGAAGCCAGACTATGTCGGACAAAGCTCAACTGCTTACCTTGCATTTGATTGGCCGAGGTAATCCAACAGCTTACATTTATACCCAAATACAATAGCCCTTGCATTTCACGGGGAATTAGTTCCCTGTAATATTTCGATCATTCTCTTGTCAACTCTCACAGCAAACCAACGAAGAACCATGGAAACTTTTTTCAGGTCAATTTTCGTTACTCTGTTCGCGTTATGTATCACACCATCTGGTGAGTACATTTTCCCAAGCATTATTTTTATTTCCACACCATGTGCGGTTTACGTGTTTATCTGTATGCCCGATTGAAAAGCTTTAGCGCTGCCAAAGTCACCGTAGAAACTTGAAAATCAAAGGTTGCAATTCTTGAGAGAGGACAGATACAGAAAAAATTTTGTAGATGCAACAAGAGCGAAAACAAAATATATTTTTTGTAATGTAAACGATTTCGGTCCCTTCAACGGGGAGACGTTTATTTGGTTTGGTGGTCTGGCTTTACCAGGTTCGGGAAACCACGTATAAATTCGCTGTTTCGACTTCTTAGTAACGCAGCAAGTTCGACAATTGACCCAGCGGTCGAACTTAATCCGTTTGGGTCGTTTGAGACCAAAATTTCAATTTAATTCGTCTCATGTGAAGTGTGACGTTTTAACGGGGCCTTAGTTCCCGTCAAGATAATTTTTTCTGCTTTTCGTCTGTATTAATTTTGTTTTTCATTTTCGCTATGTAATCACATATTTATTTTCCAAGTTGAGCGACACGGTGAGCCAAACGCAATATGCAATGACCAAGTAGTGAATTGCATCACGGTGGCGTGTTCCAACCGAATTCTCGATAATAAATGCCACCGAAGTAAAATGTAAACAAAGACGGGAGGATAAATTACTCTTCTTATTCAAGAAAATGACTCGTATTCAACGGTCGCCTCTTTTATGCACTAAAATTTAGCCCTTTTGTAAACCAAAATTTACATTAAGCTGACTCTAAAGACATGTTAAAGTCGACCTTTTTACTTTTAAGAAAACTATGTAAAATCGTGAAAAATTCGGCTCTTGAAATAGCGTTCAATGTCATTCTGCCAGATTTCTCTTTGAATTCTTGTCCAACATATCAGGTGGGTCTCTCTAAGGGTTAGTTATTAGTGTTATAGACAATATGACTTATACCCCATTCACACCAGCAAAACATGTTTTGTTAAACTGGTTTTCATTGAATGAAAATTATAAACAGAGAACTGAAAAACTTGATTTTCCATTGGATTCAAGTACTTGCTAACTTGCATTTCCAATGTGCTACATTCAAGTCAAAAATATTCGGTTAAATAGTTTCTATGAAGAAAAAAAAATTAAACTGTGTTTAACAAAACACCTTTTAAACATGTTTAAGCTTTGGTGTGAATGGGGCATTAGTTAATAAATCTGCAAGTCAGCTCAAGGATTCATAAAACATGTTATCTGTGCCGGATTGATGGTAGACCCTGTAGTTGACTTGTTGTACCATTGCTTGGTGATAGAAGTTGGCAGAAATGTGACGAATTGCGAACATCGAAGCCACTCTAATTTTTTTCATCAAAAGTATCCTCTAAAGAAAACAAAGGAGGCTCTTAATGTTTAAGTGCGCATGTCTTCATTTGACTTGCAAACAAATATAATCGCGTGTTGTCAATACACTGTCATGCGGCTTCTCGTACGTTTGTGTGTCAGTCAGTGAATGTTATCGCGTGTTGTCAACTATATAGTACATATGCCCGTGTGTTGCGGGGGGTGGGGATGTTGAAGCTTCGTTCGAATTGATTGGCGGATGAAATCTGGGCCGATAAAGTCACGTATTCTCCTTTGTTGTGGGGATGTGGGTAGGTACTGACTCAAAATTTTGAGTCTATGAGCCATTTTTGTTTGTAAATGGGAGTAGATTTTCATCAAATGTCAATGTTCAACTTAAGGACACATTCTCGAAAAAGATTTTTCAGTGAACAATACTATAAATAATTACAATAGAGTTGATTAAAAAAAAATATATATATATATATATATGTACATATATACAATGTGACAAATGTCTGAAAGTATGATACAACTTTTCTTGATTTAAAAACTCGTCAAACATCTTCATTTTAAAATTTTCTCAAAGTTTGCAGGACTCTTACGCAGTTTGATATGATTTCAAGGCAAATACGAGAGCGTATAAATGTATTTTCGAATTCGATTGAAAGATACAAAAGGAATCGTAGCAACCAAATGTCTTTCGCGTTACATTTCGAGTGAATTTTTGGAATTTTCGACTGATTTAGTTAATTTAAATGATTTCGGTGATATTGAATGATGTTGGATGTCGTTGGCGTGTTGGATGATATTGGACGATATCGCAAGATGTTAAATGATATTGCTTGATGTTGGATGATATAGCATGATGTTGGATGATATTGGATGATACTTGATGATACTGCATTATGTTAGATGGTATTGGATAATGATGATGGTAAATAATTAAAGAAATACAAAAATAACCAAGGGACCTCTCAGAGTCTAATCTTCTCAACCTTATCCAACAGCACTAGCATTAAAATGTGACGTGTGTACCAACCTACCAGCGCAAGCGGGACTCTCGGGAAAACCCTGCACTGCTCCAGATGTCATGGAGTGTCCCTTTGGTATGGATAGATGTATGACCATAAACGGTGAAATAGCGATTCTTGGTGCTGGTTCTGTGGAATTCACATTGAAAAACTGTTCAAACAGTGCACTCATGTGTGCACCGGACGGCGTAGCCAACTGTGAGTAAAACGTTTTTGTTAACAGTAAACGAGTTGCCAATAATCAGGTCATTGTGTTATGCGCAAGGGTTTCTGGGACCGCAAGGGGAGCAAACATAGCTAGTTTCCAGAAGGAAATGTACGGCGTAAAGTCCATGGTTTCGACGTCCGATAAATATTCAAAACTCGAGGGGACAAGTCTATCAGTACATATTTCATCGATATTCAAATATAATCTTACACTTTCATAGTATCAACATTGTCTAAATCCATTTCTGAAAATAAGGCGGCGATTCCGATTCTTTTCCTCTAAAATCGTTTTTTTGGACGTCGAAACAGCTTGTTAATACTTGAAAATTTTGGGTAAACACATAGATCCGACTACTGACAATTCACGTAGTAAGTGCATTAAACCGTAGTTAAATTCTCATCAAAGTAGATTTTTTTTTTACGTCTTGCCACCAGATTTGCACCCTTACACCCTAGCCGCTGCATGCATATTCTTCCTGCTCCTCTCTCTACATTTCATTTGGTACTGATCATTTCCTTTATTCTCATGACCTTAATGGTTGATTCAATCATCATACCGTGAGGAGAAATAAGACACTGGTCACTCTGACATTGTGAAAAGGTTACGTAGGGTCGCTAAGCTTTTCCTTGACGTTCCACGATAATTTTAAATCATATTTTGTTTCTTTTTTTTTTTTTACAGTCTGCAAAATTTTCAACACGACCGGGCTTATGTCATCTTGTACAACGGATTGCTGTGAGGGAGACAATTGCAACGGAGTCTCTGGAGCTGAAGCCGCTGGTCTGTCAGTCTGGCTTGCAAGCTTCTCCGCCATTTTGATGGCCCTGCACAAGAACTTTCTCAATTGATTTGTGAACTCAAAGTAGTTAAATATTCGTTTTGTTTTCGAGTTTGGCAAGAAACTGTTGAGAACACGAGATAAAATCAATCTTTGAAAAATAACTTTTGTTACAGTTTTGTGCAGGATTTTTGATTACCTTACTAAGGGCCCTGGCGCACTAGGCAAATTTTGAGAAAAAAAATTTGTCATCAGTTCAGTGAGACAAGTGCACTTGGTGTTTTTTTATCCCACCAAAGTTACATATATTTTTCAGGCGTGAAATCTGACAGAGTTTTCAATTTACAAACCACCATTTTAAGGAATACGTCAATCAATGGGTCCTTCCCTCTTAAAAAAAAATAGAACTTCTCGAGGAAATTCTTGACAAGTTTCAAGTTCCTGAGCCTCGGCTTGATCCTGTCACCCCTAAAGCAAACCTGCAAAGCTTTTGCCTGTTTTCCGTAGAAGAAGTTTGTAAGAATGTTCGAGAATCGTCTGAAAATCGTCTGGTGCTTCCAGTCTCTTAGTTCCTGTTTCCACACCCTATAATCAGTATGCATATTCTCCATACTGCTCTTTATACATTTCCTAAGGTGCTGACGAGGAGAATTTGTTTACAAATCAAAAGCTCCTTTCAGTGTGGATCATTTCCTTTATTCTCATGACCTTAATGTGTGATTCAGGGGTGAAATTGTAGGGAGAAATTTGATGCCAGTCACTCTCAGGGGTTAAAGGGTTGGGTCCTTCCTTGGCACTATAGCACCCTCATTGAGATGGTCAATTTATCTCACCTCGGTGGTCATGTTCCTAAAAACTGGAAAACTGTTATGATCAACCTTCCACCAAACAAAGCCAATGTTGAACTGGTTTATAAGAACTTCCGTTCTCTCAGCAACCTGCCATTCATTTCCAAGGTATTGGAAAAGGCAGCTCTAAAACAACTCCTTTTCCTCCTCGATCACGGTGAAAAAAATACTCCGCACCCCTAGAAAATATCCGGAAACTTGGATCCTGGTTTGCTGTTCGAATGCGGATGAATGTCAACATCGGTAAGATCCACAGCGAGGTTTTTCGTGGACTCTTAAGCATCACTCAAAGAAGAAAATTCCCTTCCATGCAATCGACAAAGACACGGGTCCATGCTTTTGTATCTTCTCGCCTTGATTATTGAAACTCACTTCTTTTTGGTCTACCTAAATATCAACTCGATCGTTTACAGAAAGTTCAGAACGCCGTAGCTAGGGTGATTCTTCAGATAACGAAATTTGACAGCATCACACCGGCTCTCGTCGATCTACACAGGCTTCCTGAATCATTTACAGTTGAATGTAAGTTGCTTTTTTTGTTTGTAATTCGTTACACAATCTAAGCCCGCCTTACATTAAAGATCTAATGCTTTCCAAACTATTTTGTGTTTTCCAAAATAGCATTTTCCGTGAAAAATGGACCTTTTAGACATATTTTTCATATCGATTCCGCAAAATATCGTGCTTTTTTTCAGACAAAGTGAAATGTTGGCTTCAAAGAAGCACTATTTAGGCAAAAAACACGGAAATTTCCCCTATTTGATAAAAGCAAAATGCTTCAGTTTTCACGGATTAAGAAAATGTGTTGCTTCAAAAGAGCAACATTTTGTATAATTCAACGGAAAGTTAAACTTAGGTACATTTTACTCATACAAATATTCATTTTTTTACTGCGTTGCTTGTTAAATCTGGTCAAAGTGCACATAATGCTCTGCACTTTTAAGAATGGAACGATAAAGTCTTTGATTTTAACCCTTAATATGTTTAAGCGGTTTTTTCGTTCATTTTTATTTTACATGGTATCGAGAACTGTAATGCAGAAATTCTGCAAAGTTCGACGGCCCAAGCGTGCAAAAATTCTGCACGCCTTGACGTCCAGTGCTGCAGAAATTCTGCATGGTATGGCGTCCAATGATGCAGAAATTCTGCAAGGTTTGACGTCCAGTGCTGCAGAATTTCTGCACGCCTTGACGTCAGTGCTGCAGAAATTCTGCACGCCTTGACGTCCAGTGCTGCAGAAATTCTGCACGCCTTGACGTCCAGTGCTGCAGAAATTCTACACGCCTTGACGTCCAGTGCTGCAGAAATTCTGCACGGTATGACGTTCGCAGCAGCAGAAATTCTGCAAGCAATGACATCGTGAGTTAAAGAAATCTTAAGTGTTGCAAGGTCAATGCTGCAGAAATTCTGAGTCGTTGCTTTTCCATTCTCAAAAAAGACAAATTGTAGAGGGCCCACGCATACCAACAGTTTCGATCAGTTTTCTATTTATGCTTTTTCTACTTTTCAGTGATCTTAGTTGAAATAACAATACTGTGTATGCTGATTTTATTTTAATGATTGGATGAACTTGTGAAAATAACTCCACGGTTGGAAACTAAAGGCTATTAACAGAGGCCCATACCCGCTTTATTAAACAGAACTATTCATAAATCATGCAGGCTTTTAATCAAATGCCAAAAGGTAAGTTGTTGAAAGGAAATTAATTTTCTTTTCCCTGCAAGAAAAAAAATCGTTTAATTAAATTTTTGTACTCATTCAGGATGGGCTCCTAACACATTTAAGATTCTTTTAAAAGTTTGTTTTAAAATTTTTTTAAAATTTCGTCTAATCAAAGAAAAGATGGAAGTAATCCTGTTTTGGCATAAAGAGAGCTCATCTGTTGCAGAATAAGATGATCTGTTCATTTTTAAAGAAATTTAAAATTAGATGACCTTGGAATGAGGACACTTAAAGTCGAATTTACATTACCACACTGAGTGACGTTATCGTCATTAATTCATATGAGATAAATGTTTTTCCTCGAAGTTACCCGTTCAGTAATTTTCATTTCAACTGACGATACAAGATTTAGATTTTTGACTCCTCTTCCTTCTGTTCTCAAGGCTATGCAGTACTGTTGATCCTATAGTATCCAAGAAAATTAGTCTTTCACTGCTCACACATAGATGTCTAGGTGTCATTTGCCTTGAAACAGACCAGTGTACAATTACGGGGGTTTGTAAGGCCTCCTTCTGTATGTATGGATCTGAAAAATTAAAAGAAAGTGAAGTTACATCACATGGACATTTCAAAACAGGATGTATGAATTCATCAACACTATCTTGACTATGATTTGAACAGGTCTTGGTGTAACAAGGCCAGCTTGGCTTTTGCGCAGATAATGTTTTACTGAAGTTTAGCTGTACTGAACCTTTCGTATAACCGTGGGTTTACTGAAGCAAATTGAAACGCATCCCTTCAGTGAATTCGTTGGAACTAATTTGTCCTGAGAGAGGACCAGCAAGATATTGCTGGCCTAAGACGAACTGAATTTTCAAAAAATCAGTTCACGCTTCACGGACATAAAAGAGAAAATTTCTAATCTCTCCTCTTATGTTCATGGTTTCAGGGAAATCTTGAGGTTTTCACGCTATGAAAAAAAGAAAAAATTCAGGTCAAGTATACTTCAGGCCTCATACAATTTCGTAAATTCACGAATAACGTTAACCTTTCAGTAAAATTTTCGCGTCGCATTATAACTTTGGCCTTCATCACGCGTCACGAATAAACCTTAGTGATGCACCAGTTTATTCATACCTTAAGTTTCCTCTCAGAAAGTGATTCTCCACAGGGTCCAGCAAAGGAATGTGATGACTTTTGCAAAAAGTCCACACCGATTATTTTTGGAGAAAAGGTAAACTCTTGTTCCTGTTCTGTAAAGATACGCAGCTCCTGATTGTATTATTTTGATGCACCATACTTCCAATACTCCCATTCCCCTTATCTTTCGGAGGCATCTAGCGTATGAAGAATTTAACGGACGCAAATGACATGTGAGTTAGTTCAAAGACCAACTATTTTCAAAGCCGACAGACCCATAAATCACGAACTCGTGTCTTCTCATCATTGCCTTTCTTGTAATAAAATTTAGGGCGCAATTAAGAGCGGCGAAGAGAAAGTCGCAAACAACGACATTTCTGTCTGAGGTTTTCACACCTTCAAATCAAAAAGAATATGACATTTTCCCGTGAGTGCTAATCTAATCAACTTAAAGCTTCCTTGATTCTTTCTCTTGCTCGTTATCTGTTCGAAATGCCTTGCAATTGTAAGGCCTTGTCCACACTAAACCTTTTTAAGCTCAGAAATTTGAGGTTTTTTTTTTATAACCATACTAAGGAAACAGATCTATTTTTCTTCGTCTCGGCGGGCTATAAATACACTGGCGTCACATTGGACATGCACGCAATTATGGTTTACTATAAAACTGAAGAGCCGCGACGCCGGCAGTTTTGAAGGCAGCGATTTCGCTCAATGAATACTGACCTTCACAGGCTTAGCGCTCACGGTAGGCCTAGTTAAAGATATGAAGTCTCCATTCGTTTGCATTATATACCTAATCGGCGAGCATAGGCCGGGTTAGTATTTCGATTAGAACTCGTAAGCTGTGCACTGTCCAATTTCACCAACGAGGGACAAAAGACCCTTCAACCTGTTGTTTTACAAACCGCCAACATCCGCTCGTAATATCCTAAAAATCGTAGAATTGGGCTTTAGTCAGTTTTGCTATGCGCTCTTGTCAGACTCTGAGTGGAGTTAACTTGTATCCGTCGAACAAAAATATTTCAACCGATGATGGCGAGGACACCGGAAACATATCCCAGTTCTACGAGCCATGATAATTTTTACGATTCGGGAATCACCATCAGAGGCCACTGTAAAGAATTTAAAGGCTGACGTTTCGAGCTTTCGCCCTTCGTCAGAGCGATTAGGTAACGATAAATGGTCTGAGTGAAACTTTATTTGCCAGGCACATGTTTGCGATCTCATCGATATAAATACAATTGTACCAAAAGCTTATCGAATCGTCATCTCTACGTCTATCTCTTATTTATGAATTGTATGTTTTCAGTCCTCGATGGAGATGTAGAACCCACAAACATTTGATAAAAGCACATTTTAGGCCAATTTTGTTGTTGCGAAAATTGATACGATGCATAAGTCACTTTGGTTGAATTACACTTCGATAAAAATTAGTGAATTATTTCAGATTTCTTGGATTCCGTCGTTGTTTTCAATGTAGAACCCGGCCAAAACCAGAAGGCGCCCTCACAATG